AGTGCAGATTCTGGGTTAACAAATGCTTGATATAAAAGGACTGCACCAACACCCCCTCGTGTTACCCGATGTAGCTTTGCTCGGAGAGCACGTGTCCAATATTTAAACAGCGATTTAAAAAGCGACTCCCAACTTTTTGCCTGCAAGAAAGCGGAAGAGAATGCCCAGCAGCAGTAGAGGCGCCGGCTAAGTTTCAGTGACGGTTGAAACACGACACTTTTCTGATCTTTTCTGTGATTCTCTCACGAAAGAGGTCCATCGGTCCATCCTTTCAAATCCTTTCAACACAGAACAGTCAGTTCCTGGTCTGTGAGGGCCAGCCCAACTGCAAAGACATAGTGACAGAATGCAGCAAGCCAACCTTGTTTGAAGCCTCTCGTATGTGGCACATGCTGATGACAGTCAGTCATAAGTCACTATTGTTTACTGTGACTCCGCACGGAACAAACCCATCCTCGATTCTGTATCCAAGCCTGAGATGAGCAACGCCGTTCATCGCCCCAGCAGGACAGCGAGCTCAACACGCAATGGCAAAACGTCAACTGTTGCAACAACCCGCAGCCTGTTGAAGGGTCTCAATGGAGCCCTCCTGGCGTGTCTGGCTTGCTGCCTTTTTGAAACCTTTCAATGCAACCCTTAGAATTCAATCTCTAGTGACAACTCTGCGTACCCGTGGTAAAAATGTCTTTTGGTGTATTGCAAGTAAGTCGTCGATTGTGTAAGTTTTCCTCAAACCATCCGAAATTGGCACAACATGGGTCATTAAATGTCCCCATTGAACATCACCCAACCATTAGGTATATGGTCTATAATGGCTACTATAAGGTGATGTCCAATATACCCAAAATGGGACAGTTACCAACCCCTGCACAATTTCACGGGGAAACCAATGGTATTGGGGTCCCCTATTTTATCAAACTGCGATAATTAGCAACGATCTGCGCCTGCATTCCGGCCAGGGAATTTTTGCAGCTGGAAAGGTAGGCGAGGTCGTAGCCCTGGCGCTGTGGTGCACAGCGCAATGCCTTCTTCAGCTACTTCTGCAGTGCAACGAGCTGTTCTTATGCTGTTATTATGTTGGGATAGACTGACAAATCAACTCGGGATTGTATGGGATTGTTGGGTTCATCACATTGCACATCTTTTTAGGCTGACACTTTGAATTAGTACGAGTGCATATGAATGCAATGGATCAAGTGGGTGCAAGAAGGTGAAAGCAGGCTTCATGGCCTTGCTTCGCATGGCGCTAGCTGCGCCGTTTCTGGTCAAGGGTGTCAATCCCGGCATCTGGCGGAACAGTCTGCTCGGACAAAGCCCAAGGGGATGCTTATTTGACGTTTGCTACATGTCAGGCACCTACTTTCCTTCGAATCAAGTTTGTTCGAAAATCGGTATTATCCTATAAATCTCCACATCTAATCACTTGGTTTTTACTCAGTTTTTACATGGTTTTTTCCAGCGTCGTCCACCCTCCCAGGACCCGCCTCAGCAGTGAGGTAGTAGCCCCAAAGCCACCGGATGGGACTCAGAGCTGGTACCATCCAACCTGCCGCTGCCACTGGTGCCACTGCCGCACTGCTGGTCGTGGCAATCCAAAAAGGGAACGAGTTACTTGGTGAAAATCTATGAACATCTTTGGCGATGTTTCATTGTTTATCCCTTTTCGGATCTTTTACCAGAGTTTTAAGATGCTTTAAGTGATTCCAGCTGGAGTGTTTTTCCATCTCTGACCTCTTCCATCAAACATGGCTGCCATCTCACTGAGCTGAGGCCTTGGTTTTTGAGGCAGCATTTAGCAGCATGACAATCCATTCTCAATCTGTCATAGAAACCAAACCCTTGCAACGTTTCAATGGCTCCAATTCCACACATGGCTCTCATGGATTGTGATAATTCCCTGTATTGGATAATACAGACACAAACAAATATACTCATCAATCAACAGGGATTTTGAACACTGCTCAATTCCACACAATGGTCCACTTCTTTCTCAGCAGCCGGACTGGTAAACGCCAGCAGTGCAGAAGGACAGGAAGGACGTCACAACTGCACTCATCTGTGCGGCTCCTGAAGGCATGGCATGGCAGCTTTGCCGTCCCAAAGTTTGGGGCCGCCTGGACTCACACATGATTCAGCTTTGGTAGGAACATCTAGGACATTACAGCACAATCCACATTTCAAGGCCAGTGTCTCTTGAACAATGCAATAACATATATATATATAATAACATGCACAACATCTAACTGATCAGATGTTTTTCGCAAGGCGGTCGAAAATATTCGAAAAATGACCCTTTCCCCATTTTATTCCCACATCCTGGAGACAGGATGATGCTGAAGATGTAGTTCAAGCCAAAGACCTGTCCATGTCGCGACATGTTGTGATTTGATGTGAAAAATGGGCTTCAACCTGGTGAAAAAATGTGAAAAACCTGGGTTGCTGGCGGCAAAAACGAAGGCCCAAGCGCCGGCAAAGAGCTGATGCAAAGGGATCTGACAACCACTTGCATAGCCATAGGCTGCGGCGAAAACCGCTGAAGACAATGTCACCTGCCATCTTCAAAGGAGTCTAGTCTCATTGCGCGGGTCATCCACGGGTGGCAGGTGTGTACGTCACTGACAAACAAAGCTGACAAAATTGAAAAAGCTGACGTTGGAATATTTTGGAATCCTTTGTCAACCCTTTCAATAGATTGGAAGTTTGGTGCCACAGCTCCTGTTGACGTTTTGCTCTGAAATGCAGTGGAAGGGCAAGAATTGTTGTATACATTGATCATCATTGATCATCATTGATCGTCATTAATCAAAACATATCAAACCAACGGTCAAACATGACAAATCATCTCACCCAGAAATGCTGGTGATTTGCTGTGGCGAAATCGCCTCAATGTATGCTGCCAAGTCTTTGGCCACAAAGTAGGCGATCATTGGCATTCCAACCTGCGGATCTCCCAGTCACATCAGTCACAGTGCCGATGTCTGGATCTAACTGCACCAAAACTGCACCAAAACTGCACCAAAAGCATGCCAAAAATGATCAACAACTTCGATTTGAAATAGATGGACCCGTTGATACCATCATTGCTTGTCAAATAGACTATGTAGTGCGACAGCCTGGGAACCCAAAGATGTATTGAAATGATTTCGAAATGCCAAGAAACTTCCAGAATTGCCGAGGCCCTCTTTCAATTTTTTTTTCGAACACTTCCACCATGTGATCCGAGCTCCCCAGCCCTTGCTTCTCGCCAGGTGATCAGAAGGTCACCGCCTCATCCCAGTACATGGGAATCACCATGAATCACCTATAGGATACCTATAGGATATATGTGCATTTCCAATCAACAAATATCAACATCTGAATCATCTGAATCAATGTGGAAACTGTACCATCTGGCAACTCACACCTTTGTGGAAACTCAAAGTCTTGGCACCGCACCAAAGATTTGCTGTGCCGCCACTCCCTGCAGTGAAATCTTATTCAGTAGCTCTATGGGACACAAGACGGAACTGGCATGAACAAACAAATGTTTCGGGCTCTTTCAGATGTTGCAGCGTTGGGATCCATCGGGATGAACCATGAACCTGCAACAGCATGAGGAAGAGGGAGGCCAAAGCAGCTTGCATCTCAAACTGATCCTGGCCGCATCTCCAAACGTTCGACTTCATGGGTCACAGATCATCACAGATCTGGGAATTTCAGCAGGATGCCGCAACCGGCTGCGACTTCGTGGCTTAGATTCTGCCATACAAATCCTCTCGTAGCCACAAATTGGACACCGTGATGCTGCGTGTCCAGTCTCTCGTAGGTCAAGATGAGGCAGAGTAGTAGGACCGCCACAGCGCAAAGGCTGTAGTTGATGGCCAAGGTTACGGACCTGGGAGAACCGCAAGTGACCAAGAGACCCACAACATGGCATTCTCTGAGAGTATCCAAGCGGGGGAAGCATACACCTTGTGCAAGTTTTGCCGATCATTAGGGACATCTGAGGCTTGTGACGCCCTGATGGTTTGCAGAATGCATCGATCCATGTAGATGAGCACCTCGACTGCGAAATACTGCGAATGACTTGGACAATTGTACATAACTGATCATAATCGTGATATCTCAACACCTCATCCTTTCAAAAATCAACTTATCAATGACCAGGACCCCAAAAATCCTTTGAATCAGCATTAAAATCAGGACCTTAACCGAGTGGACCATCCTGCACGAGGCGCTGCTCTGAAAAAGGGCTGCCGTTCCCGATGAAATGCACTCGGCGGCAAGGGCGTTTGCTCAATCTTTGCCTGGCGGTTGCACAAAAATACATCCAAAATGAGGGTTTCCATATGTTTCCATAGTCAGGGGGGGCCGTCTCCTCCAAGAAATTGATCTTCCCTTTGGTCCTTTGGTGGTCAGATTTCGAATGGCCAAGTGCACAGTTGACCCCTGTTTCACCAAGCTCACACATCCACCTAATTCCGACGATGTTTGAACATCAACGACTCAGGGCCTGAAAAATGGCCGTGGATTTCCACACACCAATGCACGCCTAGAGCCGCTTGGATGCTAGCAACTGATTGGCGACAACTAGATCAACTAATATCAGCTAGCTATGGGGCATACATAAATTATCATAAACTTTGTTTGGATTTGTTTGGTATTGATATGTATTGATCAATATTGATGATATTGACATCATTTGACATCTGAAGTGTCCGGATTTCCTTCGGTCAACTCACAGGGAAAATTGAGCCACCAACGAACTGGTTTAGGTTTCTGCATGGTTTCTGCCCCTGCCTCCTGATCTTCTGGTGAAGCAATCGCGTCCAACCTAAAGAAAGGCACGTCTGTAAGATTCTGTAAGTATTGACCAATTCTTCCTCCCGGCTTCAGCGATTGACATACGATTCTTGCTGCATGGGATGTTCAAAACGTGTCTTGTTGGGTTGAACACATTTGAAAACTGCAAATGCTGAGATGTGCTGTGACACCCTCTGATTGAAAGGTAGAAGTTTCAAGCTCGGAAAGGGGCACCATAATGATCATAAACTGTCAAGTCATAGGAAGGACACATATCCTCCTTGGTACCCTATTCCAAGAAGCTTTTTGCATACTTTCCCATGTCCAATGTCGCCTATCTGAGAATCAATGGAGACCAAAAATCAATGGAGGGCATGTTGACAAAGGCTTCTGCAGCACATCTGCTGGGTTGCTGTTGTTGCTAAACCTCACCTGGCGGGATGCCATTGATGCCATTGATGCCATTGATGCCATTGATGCCATGGCCATGGATGCCATGGGTACCGTGCTGCCATTCAGAGCAAACTGTGTTGATCCTTGACTAGGGCCCCTCCAAATGGGCAACAAACCATGGGTCTCACATGAATCACATGATAGGACATAATGGAGATGGATTGATTTTCGAAGCCTTGGGCTCCCATGGCTCCCAATGAAACGTCACGACTAGCCTTGTCCTCCATCAAATCTCAACAGAGCCAGCAGGACGTGCAACTTCGATTGGAAGTGATCTACTGCACCCTGGCGCAGCAAGAAGCGCCAGTACCATATGTCCAGTGGTGGGCAAACTGTGTCAAACCATTGAGAGGTTCACCCATGATGCTTCTAGGACTGAGCCAGACTGGGAGTTGGAAGTCCCTGACTGCGTAGCGAATAGCCTCTGTTGGCCCAGCATATGCCACGAAACCGCCGACAGCCAACCTGCCCAGCAACAGTTCACCATCCTCTTTGATGACAGGTTTTCAACCCGGATGGTCTGCTCAGATCTGCTACAACATGCTACAGCTACATCTGTGTGTTTGTCAGCTTTTCCACAATTTTCATGTATAATATATATATATACATAGCAATATGATATGCATTGGGACTTCCAGTGCGGGTGCACAATTTCCCCAACCACAAGTGACACTCTGTGAATTTCGAACCCCCAAAACAGTGACTCTAAGTGACACTCTGTGAAACCCTCTGTGAATCCTGACAAAATCAGGTCATCGAAGAGTTGCAACGTATCGTAGCGTGGCTGGTGGATCACTGCCACCACCTCGCGTTGCGCAGTCACAGAATCCGTCTCTCCCGGATTGAGCAAATCTTCGGATTCATATCGCCGCTTCTGCGGTTGGAAGAAAGCTAATGAACAGTATTTGAAGTATACATCATGAGCATGTATATATTTATACATATACATGTTTATATATATATATATATACGTATATATACATACTATACAATATACAATATATATTATACACATTGTATTATATACATATCAGATAACATTACATGACATTACATATCCATAACAACCAACCATCCTTTAAGCGCGACCAACACAAACTCCAAGCATTTCTGAGGCCCGAACTGTTGACCCCAACCGTGCCTTGGTACACCGAGTCCGCTCACCGACGCATTCCACCCACGCAGCGCCGGGTCTCCGCACGGCAGCTCCGTTGAGGCAGCGAACCACCTGGCCCAGTGGCCAATTTATGGGTGACATGTTGGGAAACATTGGGAAGTACTGGGAATGGAACACATATGAACTATAGGAACTAATATATCTAATATGACATCATATATCATCATATGAACATTATGAACCAACATTACATAAATGATAAAAACAATAACTGGGGGCTAGTGGGACACAACAATAATGATAAACCATAGAACGTATGACTCAAACTCAATCTAGTTGATGTAGCACACACAAACACACAAACACACATGACATTACCTTTTTCGAAGCCCACAAATGGGGCTCCACTTGTCGGCCTCGTGAGAAGTGGTGCTATCCAAGCCGCTGGTTGGCTCGTCAGCAAAAAGCAACAAGGGTTGTGCCACCAACTCCATCCCCTGGCGATGTGCGATGGCGTCATATGGGGCGACAGTGGCTGCCGAGACAGCTGCCGATCTGAGATGCTCTGAGCAGCTGACAATGGAGACACGCTTCCTCGGAGAAGGGAATGTCATCTGCAGCTGGATCCAACCTTTCTGGTTTAGAATATCAAAACACCATCCAAAACACCATCCAAAACACATAACCAGTTCAGAAGGATTCAAAATCGGATTCCAACGGTTGGAAAAAGGTCTAAGCGCTGACCCTCCACACCAGAGTCGAGAGTAGTCTTCAACTAGTGAGGTTCACGAACACACCTTGAACTTTAACAGCATCCTATTGAAACAAAATATCTAATATGTATATACATATATAATTATATATATTATATATGATATGCCTGTCTAACATGATATAAGCTACACGAAGCTACACCATGTGGAGATTCCATGTGAGTACTGTACCACCGTGTGCCCCGCCAAATTCTGAGCACCCCAACCGTTGACCACCAGAGACGCCGCGCTTCTCTGGTGTGCCCACACGTGCCTCCCACAGAGGTGGGGGAAATTCTCAGCAAACTGAAACTGAATCTGTACACTATGACAATATCATACAATATCATACGATATCCATCCCTCAACTTGAATGTGTCAAACGTTCTCAAGCATCTGGATTCGGCTGCATGCTACATACCAGCAAATCTCATAGTACCGAATGCCTTGATTCTACTGAAATGTCAGTCCTCAAGCAAATTGTAGAGGTTCAAGTCTCGTGCAACCTGGCAGTTGGAGCGATGCACACGTTGGGGCTATCTGAGTTTAGTCATCCTTATAGATATTGAAGTGATGATGGTGGATATGATCTTCAACACACGGACAGGACATTGATTACACCATTTCATGTAGCTTGCTAATACAATCGGAAGTTGCAAGCAAAAGATCCTCTCATATTTCGCTTTGCGTAGTGTGCCTTCATATTTGCTGCCGGGTTTTCATGCCTTGAACTACCATTTTCCAGCATGCTGGGGCTACATCTTGTATTGGGCGGATTGCAGCAGACTCACGGACACATCTCGTAATAAATCTCTTTGATATATGTCCTAGTCATGTGCTGACAAAGCTAAGTACAGGACTTACACAAACTAAATGGACCTATACGCACTTGAATGCACTTTTGAGTCCAAACAACATGTAAGAGGAAAGGATTCTTTGACATTCAAATAGATACTAAGATTTGCCGACTGCAATGCCCTTTCAACAGTTTGACAAATGTACTGGTTGCCAACAACCATAGGGTATATATACATAATATTATATAATATACATCTGGGATCTTGAGTAGTAATCCAGTAACGAAACCAACAAATACGCAACATCTGGGTACCTTTCTATACCTTTCCCATCCTTTCCCTGTCTTCTTTACGGGCTGTCACTCCGAGGTTCCCTGCTGAAACAACACATTCGGCCACCTGGGATGATGAGATGTGACTGTGACCGAATCCAATGCCAAAATATGATGAATGTGATATGAATGTGATATGAATGTGATATGAATGTGATATGAATGTGATATGAATGTGATATGAATGTGATATGAATGTGATACGAATGTGATATGATGATGATATTTGACTCTTACATTGTTGTATTCATATTGACATTGATAGTGACCTGATAGTGGAGGGCAATATCTTCAAGTAATCTATCTCTTCCCCCGAATATATCCGAATATCAAACACCCCCTAGAAAGAAACACTAGTTTAGTATTTGACCTATTCATTTTGAGGCCCTTATTGGGGGTATTTCATATGACATTGACTCCATTATAATCCCAGGATGGTTAACCCATATCATATATAACATTATAATCATTATATAACCATATAACCCACAATTTTTCATGAGTAAACCACCATTTTCATTGCGGGGATGTCAATAGCAGTGGTCTTAGCCCACGACCTCCTCCTTCGAGAAATCCGCGGGGAGTCGCAACATTGCCTATGGCATCACGTGGCACTCTGCCCCTTCAGCGGGTTGTATGATGGATCTGATGGGCTGAGTCACAGATTTACCCTCTGGTTATGTCAAAATAGCTATGGACAATCACCATGTTTAATGGGAAAATCCACTATTTCTATGGCCATTTTCAATAGCTATGTTAGTTTACCAGAGGGTATACAGATTTACGCTCACAACTTTGCATGACACTACGAGTCAATCTATGTCATAGGTCATATGTCATATGTCAACTCTCCGATGGCTGAAACGCAGCACGATACCACCGGAGTGCTCAAGAAGCCCTGTGAAACAACGTTTGAATTCTCCAATTCCAGGCGGAGACAATCATGGCATATCATGGCATTCTGGCAACACGAAACGCCGCTGTTTCTTGCTCAGTTCATGTACGCCTACTAAAACCATCTAAAACCATCTAAAACCATCTATAACCCAGATCTTGACCACTTCCATCATCCATCATCCATCAGGTCTCAAGATGGTTTTTGGGCATGGTGACACCCCACCTGGTAATTCAAGTTTTCTTTCACTGTGAGTTCACCATGGAGGACGTCATCCTGTGGAACGAAACCTGTCACTGGTCGAAGACACCTGACATGTTTCGACGATCCCGGTGACGTCAGACACCGTTTTCATAACCGGTCTCCATGGTCAAAGTATGTCATATGCCGCCATGGGAATGTTGGGAATGTTGCCTGCTAAAGCCTGCCGTATTTTTTGAGGAGCTGTTGATGGCATATTTCCAAAGGAACCACAGTGACATCCGAACGTCTACCATTGGAATAAGTAGCACGCCAACTCTGAGCAGCCAGGTGCGCAACGCTCTTTAGTCAATTGTCATATTTTCGTTTACCTCTCGACACCTTCCATCTTGAACTCTCGCCACAACTTACACAGGATCAAGTTTTTGCCAAAGCCTTGCAGCTTGCATCAGCTGGCAAAACCCTCCCGTTTTGCACCTCATATCATCTGCGGACCTATCAGCTATGGAGCTGGATCCAGTGACATTAGTGACATTAGTATCATTAGTGACTAATCATATAGTATTCATGTGATATAGTATTCATATCGTATTCATTAGTGACATCATCTGCAAGGCCTGCCACCTACGGTGAGCTGTCCAGTGACACGGCCATAAGATGCACGACCTCGGAGCATCTCGGAACGACACAACGACTCCTGCGTCTATCGCTCTATGCCGGGTCTCCACACCACTCAAAACACCCAGGAGGGTTGTCCTGGCTCGGCGAGGTATTTTTCCATATGACACAATTTCCAGTGCTAAACATCTGGGGAAAGCTGTGATTGATGTTCATTACTCTGAGGACTCTAGCGGCCGGCGACCGCACATCTCAAACTTTGCATTTCTTGCCTGGATGGAAGTCGAACCCACAATACCACAGTCCAGTTGATTCATACAAAATCGGTCTATTTAAGGTCTCAACTCAAAGTGAAACTTCTGCAGGCCCGGCACTTCCCAAACAAACATGCGGAGGTCTGCTTTCCGCTGCCAGAGGGTCCCATGACCTCGCTCAAATCTGAACATGGGGCATATTTGGCCGTTGAGGCTTCCTTTTCAATCAGTAAAGAAAAACATGGAGAAAATTTTCGTGGCGAGTTCCCACTTTTTCTTCCACGTCACTCCTCATTTGGTGGTTTTCCCATAGTTTTTCCCATGGTTTTTCCACAAAGTTCTGTGTCTTGGTCCCAGGCAGCAACCCTCTGCCCAGCTGCGATGCCGAAGGACACATCCTGTCGCTTCAAAGTCCCTGTATATTCAAAGTATATTTAGATATTTTACCAGATATACTTAGACTTAGATATATTTAGATATAATTATCCTGTATGATATATCTAAATTTAGAATAATTTAGATATATTTAGATATTATTTGGATGATTTGAGATGTATTGCAACTGTATTTTAGATGTAATTTTACAGGCAATCAGCTGGTACTTCGCTTTCAAAGTTTGGGATGCTGCACAAACTACGGGCTTCGACGGTTTCGATCCCTTTCGCGTTTGCCGCAATTCTACTGCAGAATTTTCAGATTCATGTGGTAAACCCCATAACAAACCATCCCATTAATCAACCTTCAGGATGGTTTATCATGAAAAATCCTCACCTTCAGCAACTTCTTGCCATCTGGAAGTGCGAAGGCCACATCCTGAAGGAACTTCCCGGAAGTTCAATGGTTCTTGGATCCCGCAGCCATCCCGCAGCCCTGGGAAATCATGGTTTTTTTGATGGAAAAGAAATGGTAAATTGATGCAACTTGAGAAATCAAATGATGGTGAATATTGGGGTGAATTATGGCGGCATAATTGTATATAATTGTGGTATCTGATGGTAAAGAACATGGTAGAGGTATCTCCAAGGCATCTCCAAGGTATCTCCAAGGAATTTTCTTGTCCCCAGGATCTGCTTCCGGCCTCCAAGCCAAAGGACACGCCAACGAAGGAGTCCCTCCGGTGCCTTCGCTGTCAAGGCAACACAGCGACCAGAAACAGCGGGCTTCGCTGAGCTCAGAACCCACTCTCTCGTCGTGTCGAGTGTCCTTGGTGGCAACTTATGGCAACATATGGCAACACGTGGAAACCGGAAACTGATGGAAACTGGCCAAAATATGCCCCACATATCCCCAAATCATCACAAGCTACGGGGCTTGCGGTTTCCCAAATTGCCTCAAAAATCGACAAGTGGCTGAACCTGTGGAGCCGGTACTTTGTTTATTTGATGTGTTGTGAGAACAGTTTCGTTACCACTTTCCGGGACCCGCACGTTGCGCATCTTGAGGATCCTCTGGCGAAATGGTGCTCACCTGGCTGTCATCGGTCATCCCTCCTTTATCTCCTTTATACAATACTGGCTTCCCTCCACCGGTTGGTTCATATTATGGGGTTCCACAGTTTCCACAATAAGTATCAATAATTTATAATAATTCCCGACAAGCCAGGTAGTATAATTAAGATTCATCAAGAATAATGTAAGTAGAATTTCTATTATAATTATGATTAACATTGATTAACTGAGATAATCATAAGACTACTTTAATCTATTTTAGATAATTTTAGATAGTGATGTAGACGTGGCCTCCAAGGCTGGGGCAACACCGTGCTCCTGGGCGGCCAACACGGAGCAGCTGAGGCAATCTGTGGCAATCTGTGGCCAGGAAATGCCATGAATGCACTGATGAGTTCTGATTAGAACACCCATAATCTGAGTCCCAAAAACCATCCTGCCGTCTACCGAATCCTACCTGATTATGGAGGAATGGCTCGAATCTGAAGGATTCTGGAGATCCCCTGGACAGTGCACCTCACTTTCAAAGAGACCCATCTCGCCACGTGCCCTGAGTTGGGTTTGGGCAGGTGTGATCATGTGTGATCCATTATGATATATTGCGATCCAGTGATCCCTTTCAATAGGCCATCGTTTCTTCGTTTTGCTTTGAACGTAACACATTGGAACGATTTGGGATCCCAGAATCTCAACGGGCAATGAGTTCCATTGACTTCACGGACTTCCCAGCTCGCTTTCGTCTCCACATCGGTGCCATGGGAACTTTGGAACTTGACATCTCCGCCATGTCACTGAAAGCGCCAGCGTGTCAGGAATGGCAAGGCCTGCCGCCGTCGTTCCATTGCCTGCGCGGGAACACCAATGCGGCGTGTCAATGCCGTGAGACTTGCAAGAAAACATGCACGCAGCAAAGATAGTTGAAAAGTGCAGAACAGAAACTGAGCAGAATTGTGATGTCTCCCTGATTTGTAAAATGGACCCACGCACACATATGTATATATTATATAATATATATTCACATACATATATTATACCATAAAGTCCTTAACAACAGGCTTTTGGATGATCTACTACTTGACACACCCAATTGCTTTTGCGCGCACCATGATTTGATCGGCAATGGAGAGCAAATCTGTACAGGCTCTGCTTTTCAAGAGCTTGATGCAACCAGTTGTTTAGTTGGAACCTGACAGACTCAAATCAGGATGTGTGGCAGAGCCAGGCCACTCCAATTTGCCCTGGCCGATACACATGCATGTTGTGACACAGTGGGAGTCGATAGTGAAACGCACCACACCTTCCCACCATCTGGTGGAACAGGATGTGGTGCAAAAACAAAAAACAAACAGCTTCGGTATTTGGCATTGAGATCTGTTTGGTAGTCTTAGACACCAATGTTTGCCTCATAACACATAGATGATTTTTGCATGTTGAGGCCTGACATCACATTAACAAAGCGTCACTCCTTTTTCTGTTGTGAAACGTTACACACCCGGGTTGAGCACGCTGCATCCAAGATATTGCGTGGCGTAACTCGTGATCTAGTCTCTTGTAGCAAGGAGTCTCCGTTAGATGATGACCAAGGTGAAACGTCCACATAGATTTGTGAAAGGAACTTGCGAAATCTTTGGCAGTCCACACGACGAAAAACACTATCTAAGTATCTAAGTATCTAAAAGTGTCGTATTGCAATCTCCAACACAGCGTGCACCAAAGTGTGGCGCCCTTCAGTTTCTCACGTTCTTCTTGCTGCGGCGTACAGGAGAGGCTAGGCACGGGCGCGACAGAACCAAGGCAGTTGGACAGAAAACAATTGTGCTGGAAAACCAAGTATTTGCGTGGCACTAGTCAGTTTTGAGTAGTTGACTGCCTTGAAACATTGCATTAAAGACGTACACAACATTATTACTCACGTAATTACTATATACAAACATCATAGTGCATCACGTTAGACATGTTATACGTGTTCAACCTCTGATGCTATATAAACTACATACTACATCATATTTATCTGTGTTTATCTACATGATATAAGTATATACAAGTTATAAATAGAATTCTATAGGGTAAACGTGCCTTAAAATCCTCAAATATCTGAGGCCATGACTTGGTGCCTGCTTCTTCTTTCCCACGGTGCGAAGGAGATCCTCGGCGTGGTTTTCTGGTCATTTCATTCTCATCCTCCTGGCTCTGCCAAGAAAATCATAGAACATCAACAGAATGGATGGACCTCCTGACTCTAAGCAATTTCTTAAAGGGAGATTTCCGAGCGATTTTGGCATATTTTGGCATCGTTTGGCATGTTTCAATCCGACACATCACCAGCATCGGCAGGGCCCGGACGCCAGCCACTGGCTCCGGCGGCCGCATTCTTTCCGCCTGGGCCATCCGCATCAAGATGGGGGTGCAAAGACCGCTTCCAAAACATCGCAATAATGATTCACATTGATTCACCTTGATTCACATTGTTTCTGGGGATGTGAACAGCTGCTTATCAAGGTTTGGATAGTATTACAACATATTCCCAGGTCCCACTTTGATTAGCTGATGACCTTTGGTTCCCAATGGTTCAGTTCAAGATCTCTCGAGATGCTGACCTCGGCCTTCATCTGAATGTCGCGGACGTATTGGAAGATACTCTGGTTGCAAAGCTGTGCCTTGGAGATTCGCCAGGGAGTCTCTTTTGACAAGTGCGGCTGCCATCGCGCACTCATGAGTTTGATTGTTGCTTCCCACAATACGCACGAGAAGATCAATCATTAGCATGAATTAGCATCAGAATGGTCTATCCATATTGGACATATATGGACATAAGACATTTGGACATACACTTTTGCACCGGCGAATGACTCGAGTCTGAGAGCGAAACCCTCATGGGGATGTCTTCTTTCTCCAGCTGCTCCAGGTCCTCTCTTTGGTCCTTGTAAGCCGCTAGAAGCTCGGTGACCTCAATGTTGCGAGGAGATCATGAAACAGACACAATAATTATATTATAATTATCAACAATTTACCACATCTGACAATGATATGTATACTATTGTATACTGAAAAATCAAATATAGATATTGGATCTAGACGTAGATCATCGTAGATCTAGATGAGAATACAGATCAGATCTTGAGATCTAGTGGCCAACTACAATGCAGCCATGATCGAGCCATGGCCGAAAACTCTTTGAGACGTCCACCGTCGGCACGGGTCGCAGCCGGCCAGCCAACACCTGACCAATGGGATCCAATGGGCATGGCTCAAGAAATGTTGTTATTTACTGTTTCTTTATATATTATGAAATATACGTGATATGCGTGAATATGATGGGCCTCATCTGTCAGTTTTCCTGGGCATTCCTGGATATTCCTGGCATTCTTGTCACTGGTCACTATAGCTTTCTGTCAGCCCTGTCAGCCTCAGGTTTTCTCAGGCATTTCCTGGAAAAACCTTACAAAATTCTTCCAGGATCTGTCAGTGCTGGTCTCCCTAGAAATTTGGCACCTGCTTCAACGGCACTGGGTATGGATTCTGGATGAAGGACCTGCAAGAATTGAACTTCAACACTGTTGGAGTCTCTAAAGTTTCAGCAGAACCTGACAAGAAACAGCAATGATCCTAAACATATCTAAACATCCATCATTAAGTCTTGACCGGAGTACTCCAATTCGTCACGCGCTTCCATCTTGAGCTGGTCAACACCTGGGCAAAAAGGCAAAACCATTCAAGGCATCTTCAAGCTGTTCTGTTTAGGAAAAGCGCACAGCGCGAACCTGTCCAAAATCCGTGTTCCAACTACAACTAGAGCTCAAAAAAGCAAGACCAAAGTGGACACTAAGTCGAGTGCTTTCAGGACGGAGTGTTTCTTGTTTTTGAATACCAAAACAAGCAATGACGGCAATGACGATTTCAGGGCTTCCGTGCGATTAATGGCCCGGAGATCCCGTCTCTTGCTGCGTTCGATCTCCGCTTCGGCACCTCGAATGTGGCGTTTGTTCCACAATTGGGCCATTGGGTCAAGGAAAACATAGGAAAACCATGTTTAAATATGTTTAACCTGTTTCGCTTCTTTGCAAGGTTTCAGGATGGCTGGCCCTGTGAACGACTGTGACCTTTGGCTATGCATCGTAGCATGGAGGTTTCCCGGTGCCGAAAGATCCCAAGCCCTTTTCTGCCTGCCACAGTGAGACAGGCTACCGCGAGTCTTTTAAAGAATTCTCATAGACGAGGCCTTGGAAGTTGAGATATGTTCATATGATTTCATAGGTAAAGGGTGCATAGATATATGTATATATCAATATATATCATATGTATGTATGTATATATATATGTTATATATATATATGTTATATGTATATACGTACATATAATATCTTATGTCAGTCTTCCAGCATCTTCCAGGCACCTCGTCCTAAACAAAAGTGCACACTTTAGAGGGCTTTGAGCGGCTTTTAGCTCACTGGCCCTCCCTAGCTACTGGTAGCCACTCCAGCTGAGTGAACTCACGATCCAAATGTTCACCCGGCAGCAGAAAATTAAACCATGCACATTTTATCCTCGAGGATCTTTGCCTCACATTGTCTCAGTTATATACATCCCCGAGCTACACAACAGCTGTACACGCTCACCCTTAAGGACTTCAGTGAGGACAGGGGCCTGATCACGACCCGTGGGGAGTTTCTTTGACCGCTGCTAGGGTTTATTAATTATGTTTAAATAGGTGAAATATCAGAATGGTCACAAATGTAAAGATTTTCACCACAGGAATTCATGGTATTTGCCTACCCCCAGCTGTATTTTGGCCCATTGCAACACATCCTCAGATATTCCCGTGAGATTTTTGGCAGTCCCAGGCACATGACTTTGTTGCCCACGTTCTCATGAGCCGAGTTGGCTTCCTGTGTGCATTCCAGCACATCCAGCGGCTGGTTGGCCTTGCAGCGGAGCACTCCCAGCCCTTCCCAGTCAGAAAACGATGGGAAATCCAGCAGATTTGGACACCTGCAGATATAGTCGGTTCTCAATGTTTTTTTCTCGTGAACGCAAGACGCATCAGAGATTGACTAACTCAACCCTAAACCCTCATGCAAACCCGAACAGCGTTGTTGTATTGTTCCATGTCTAGAACATGTCCGATAATGTAGTGTAACATAGTCTAAGGGCTTGGGCAAACCTTGGGGTCTGTGTGTAATATTAGGATGCCCAATGTGTCCGTCCCTAAAGCTTCCGGCACAACCAAAAGCGGTGGCTCTTCGAATCATTTTAGTCTCTCGAGTCCATGGTGCTGGTCCTCACGAAGTTCAGGCTGGCCTTATAGATCCCTTCAAAACTGTAGGAATTGTTTGGCAGCGTGTCTTTCCACACCTGCCAGGTGCCCCACAGCAAAGCCACATGGAAGTGCTTGAAACAACCAACTGCCGCAATTTATGGTCCCAAAACAAACCAGAGGAATTCCTCTTGCCAGATCTGCAGAGGCTTTTTCTTGTCCCTAAGTGGGTGGCCCAACCCTGGGTCCAGCCGCTTCCGGCCTTTCCACCATCCGTACTGGGTGTTGAGTAGATCTTGTGGTGCACACCCCCTGGCATGAAGACGTCAGCCCTTACCGCGTCGCAGGGGAGATCGCTGTTCCTCTGCTCCACGGCGTTGTAAAGAAGGCCACCCTGCCACGGCCATGGCTGATTTTAGATGCAGCACGATGGCGCTGAGATCTGCTGACATGTGCTATTTCTACATGACACCGACACCGACTGGATGCAAAGATTGGGACCACAACCACCCAGCGTCACTGCGAGATGTTGGAACACCAACAAACAAGCGTTTGTTGCCGTTGCCTTGCCAAAAATGGGGACCATCGAGGATACCTTCACCTTGGTTGCAGCTGGGTGTCCTACTCCCCTGTTGCATCCCAACATATCCAAACAATATCAACCTGCCGGCAGAAGGCCAAAATGCAATTCTCCACATTGACCTGTGGTGCCACCACATTCACCAGCACCGATCCTGTGAAAAACTTCCCATCGACGTAGTCGGTATATGGTATGGATCGAAGGAACAAATCCAATGGACACACTTAGTGAAACCAACGGAATCCTGGACATGTGACACATTGTGACACATATGGCCATGGCAATATATGGGATATCGGATGATATCGGTGTTGTCTCCACAACTCGTTTCCCAAGAGTCCTGGTCCAATACGTCCACTGCCAATGCGGCAGTTCAGCACCACAGCGCTTGGATGAACTTCCACATGCTCCAAGGTGTTCCCTGGCACGGCTGGGGCTTCACAACCCGTTGGCTCATCAACCTCTTGTGGGAGTAACGGTGCAACGGGTAACTTGCACACGCATAGTATCTTTCCACTGAAACATCATGTCGAACTACCTCAATGTCTGTACATGTTCAATATTGTTCAATCAGTTCAATCATTTTCAATCATTTTCATATGTTTTTCAAGACTTTCCAGCACCAGTTAACTGAAGCATCGACACCCAAAGGATTGGTCCGTCTACGCCCAACTCCAGCTTTGGTCCAAGTCACACTGCTGCCGACCTTTTGAGGACTCCAAACCTAAAAATCTGCGCAACGCAAAGGCGCTGGAAGATGTCTCCTGGCGATGTTCCGCTTGGAGTTTGAAACTTTCCAACAGGTTTTCCTGGTTGTTTCTTTCCAAACGTTTTGGGGTGTTGCAATGGTTGTTGCACTGCGTGTTGCGATTATTGCATGATCATTACTCCAATATCCACGGGCCAACACTTCACTCTGGAAAGGCATCTTTCTGCAGCTGGGTGACTGTCAGCAAGTAGTTGTTCCTCATGTACCTTAAAGTCTTGGAGTTCAATCTAACGATTGAGTATCAACATCCCCCAAAGTCAGTGCCACTGCGGCAAAAAAATTCTGCCCTGCAAATCCGAACCTATGTGCTTAGTTTAGGTGGTCTGCTTTAGTAGAACGAACGCAAACATCAAGGAAAAACACCTTAAACTAAAATGCGCTCCATTGTCAACCTTGAACCCGAAACACACCAGGTTTAGTGACTACCTCGTCGTCATATCTGTCATATTCAATATGTTCCAATCAACAACCGACAGCGATAAGTCCCAGGAACAGCTCTAGCCGACCATAGTCCCACCAATATGCCTGGCTGATCAGTTGGAGATAGTTGGAGGTGAACGAATGGAAGATGGCCAATTCTGGGCAATTTGAATGTGATACCAATAGTACCGCGCAAGGCGGTGGTGGAAGCTTCAAAGATAGGACGCTATAGGAGAGGTGAGTTGTTGTGATGCATGGATGGCAGAGCGAATCCACTGATGGACCGAAAGGTGGTTGGAGTTGTGTTTTTTTGGAATGGTTGCAATGGTTGCAGTGGCCACCTCACCCACAACTGCTGGATGTAGTGTGGTGTAGTGCAGTTGTAGTTGTAGTAGTTGTTGTAGCGTAGTGTAATTAGCGTGGTGCAGTTGCAGTTGTAGTTGTGGTGTGGTGTAATGAGTGTAGTGCAATGTAATGTAGTGTAGTGTGCTGTAGTGTTGCGTGCTGTAGTGTGGTCTAGTGTTGTCTAGTCTAGTCTGGTCTGGTGTGGTGTGGTGTAGCCGAGTGGAGCGGAGTGTAGTGTAATGTAGTTGTAGTTGTCGTTGTAGTTACAGTTGTAGTTGTCGTTGTCGTTGTAGTTACAATTGTAGTTGTAGTTAGTGTAGCGTAGTGTAGTGTAATGCGGTGTGGTGTAGTGTGTGTAGTGTAGTGCATAGTGTAGTGTAATGTAATTAGTGTAGTGTAGTGTAGTTGTAGCTGTAGCTGTAGCTGTAGTTGTAATGTAGTGTGGTGTAACTGAGTGTAGTGTAGTTTAGTGAAGTGGAATGTAGTGTAGTGTAGTGTGATTAGTGTAGTTGTAGTTGTAGTTGTAGTTGTAGTTAGTGTAGTGGAGTGCAGTGGAGTGGAGTGGAGTGGAGTGGAATGGAGTGTTATGTAATTAGTGTAGTGTAGTGTAATGTGGTGTAATGTAGTTGTAGTTGTCGTTGCTGTTGTCGTTGTAGTTACATTTGTAGTTGTCGTTGTCGTTGTAGTTACAATTGTAGCTGTAGTTGTAGTTAGTGTAGCGTAGTGTAGTGTCGTGTCGTGTAGTGTAGTGTCATGCGGTGTGGTGTAGTGTATAGTGTAGTGTAATGTAATTGGTGTAGTGTAGTGTAGTTGTAGCTGTAGCTGTAGCTGTAGTTGTAGTGTGGTGTAATTGAGTGTAGTGTAGTGAAGTGAAGTGGAATGTAGTGTAGTGTAGTGTGATTAGTGTAGTTGTAGTTGCAGTTGCAGTTGTAGTTGTGGTTGTAGTTGTAGTTGTAGTCAGTGGAGTGGAGTGGAGTGGAATGGAGTGTAATGTATAATTAGTGTAGTGTAGTGTAGTGTAATGTAGTATAATGTAGTGGTAGTGGTAGTGGTAGTTGTAATGTAGTGGAGTGTAGCGTAATGTAATGTAGTGGTGGTTGTAGCTGAAACTTCCACGAAACCCTCACGTTTTGCTCACTTTTGACAAGGTGCGCAATCCCTTGCGCCTGCCATATGAAACGACATCTGAAAGTCCAAAAGTGCTCCGTACCCGTGCGTTTTTTGCACTTTTGACTTGGAAATGTGCTTTGCGCCACAACGGCGTGCACTTTTTCGACATCTCAACTTCGAACATCGTGTGTTTTGCACATTTTGACTTCCAAATGTGCTTCGCGCCACAACGGTGTGCAACTTTTCATCTCTCATCTGGCCCAATGGCTCCGCACCCGCCGCTTTAGCGAGCGTACTTTTCGACCCTCCGGAGCCACAAATCATTGGAAAAACACTGTGTTTCGCGACTTTGCTACCTTTTCGCGCACCTGCATCTTCTTTCTTCTCACTCTTTCTCTTCTCTGATCTTCTCTCTTCTGCTCTTCTCTTCTCTGACTCTTCCCATCTCTGCTTTTCCATCTGTCCATATTGTCGAAAGTTTGACTTCT